GGCCTGCAGCGGCAGGCGGGGAACGTTGGAGTCCTCCGTCACTGAAGCAAGCAAGCCTCATGTTCAATTTAAGCTGCCTGGCTGCCGGCCACCATCTTGGCTGCCAGTTAATTTGCATATCTTGCTGATTAGCCAATGGGAAGGGTAGCGGTCGTACGCCAATTACCATGTTTCTCTTTTATAAGTGTAGATGCTTGATATAGAATGAGGCAAAAGTAGGTTTACAGTTGTTAGTATGGGAAATAATACAATAATCTATATATATAAGAGGCTAATATGCTAAGTGTCTAATCATCCGACCAGTCACTATGATGTGCACTGACCATCAGGGGGCAGATGCTCAACGCAGGAGTTGCTGAGCTTCAGTGGTACTTGGGTAATGCATTCTGGAACCAGAGAGAAGGGAGCCTGATTCCTTGTGGGGCCACGGGATTCTACCTTTGGCCATGGGTTATGTTGTTGCTGGGGCACTGTTGGTCCTGAATATGGTTTACTCCACACTTGTGCTTGCATTCTACACCCTGTACGACAGCAACTTTGCATTGTGCCCTCTCCCACTCCAGGACTCCTCGGGGGATATCGGAGAGCTGCTTTTGGCCCGATCCCTGCAGTCCAGGCCAAGGGAACCCATCTTCCGGAGGGACCCCATTCACTCCACAGACGCTGGGGAGGGACCACAGGAGGTTGGCTCCAGCTGTGCTCAGCCCATCTTGCTCAGTCCCTCCCTGCCAGCCACCTTCTAATTAATTACCTTTCAATGTGCACGAATCCGTGTACCAGGTCACTAGTTAATAAATAATAATAAAGAATAAACTCTGTTTTGAGTACTCACAACTGTAAACCTGCTTTTGCCCCCTCTATATAAAGGAAAATAAATGGAGGCACAGAATTACCTAACTTACATAGCTACTTAATAGTCAAGTCAAGGTCTGAACCCAGAGAGTCTGGTTGTCTGTAGACTTAGTGACATTTTAGAGCTCGTCTGCTTCCAAGGTACCTTCTACTTCTAGAGCTCTGTAAGACACATACCTTTGTATTGACGACGTGAAGTTAGTTTATAAATGAAATTGTACAACCTCAATAACAAATAACTGGGAATCTGCTTAATAATCATTTTTGTACCATGTTAGAACAGAGTACTAGAATTGTATTCCTTGATTATAAAGAATTTGGAAATGAATCACACAGTTGCTTTGCTACTTACAGTTAAAAATTATTTCCTTCCTTCTTCCTTACTATCTATAATAATACAAGCATAATATGCTAATTAGACTGGATGTCCTTCTGGACAAAGCCGAGGCTGTGAGGGAAGCCCGGGTCCCGGGTGCCGGAGGGAAGCCAGTGTGGCAGCCGGGGGAAGGAAGGCCTACCCTTGCACAAATTTCTTGCATCAGGCCTCTTATCTAATAATATTTCTTTATTATTTTGAACCTGAAAAATTGAACCAGAAAAGGTAAATCTAAGTCAATATATTAAAGACAGTAATCACAGTGATAGCCATCAACATCAAAGGAACAAAAGAAAGAAAAACAAGTGGGTCATACATGGTCTTTAAAAATCCCGCTCTGACCAGAGATTATGGCTTATGATATCTACTCCAGAGTCTCAGAGTATACTGGTATAAAGTAAAGTTGGCTCTATTTTGAATGTCATTTTCTTCTCATGATAATATGACATTTCCAAATGTTAAAAGTACAACTGCTTATTATAAAATTAACCCCAAGTTTGCCTCTGAATTCCTATAAGTGATCTTTACTTGTTAATTATATAAAAACTTTAATATTTTATTGGGTTGCAAAACAATTATGTACTTTAATTAACCTATAATTCTGACAAGATAATCTTAATTTTCAGTAATTTGCATGAGTTGGTGAAAAAACTTAGAAATATCTGTAATATTGGCATTCTGGTCATAAAGATAAAATATTTTGTTAACTAAATTATAGTAAAAATATTTTATGAAAGTTATTTATAGAGCAAAGTAATGTTTTATATATTGTGTATGCTTAATTTGAAGAATGAACAAGCCATTATAATAGTGCACTATTTAGCTCATTTGACCCATCCAAAATAGATTTGGTGCATGAACCAACAGTGAATTCATTTATTACTTTAGAAAATCAATGTTAAAATTCTATTTATTCATGAATGGAAACACTTCTATTTACATAAGCAATTTAACACAGTTCATTTTGTTCAGGTGTACATGGTGAGAAACAATTTATAAACATTATATTTCTCTCTCTAGACACTATATTCCCATATTGTATTCATTTCCCAAAAGCAGTTGCTTAAAAAAATCATCTTAAGGAGATTCATTTTCATTTTCCCCATAGCCAGATGGTTTCCAAGCAAAGACATATACTGACATAAACAGCTTTTGCCCTATATTTTGAGAGTTCAATAAACCCGGCATTCTATATATGACACAGAAACTGCCACAATCTTTTTAGTTGAATGAACAGTTTTGAACAGTACTTACAATACTGTTCTTATTGATATTTGTACTAGAAGTCTTCATGATAATACTAGTAAGAGTATTTGTACTTGACATTTCTTTACATTAATCACAAATTCCTCCTGGTAAGATTAGAAAATAGTTACATTTTTCAGAAATATGTATAGTAGATATGTGAGGGAAGTTAGAAAAAAAAACAAGTTGATAAAATTCCTAGAGATGAATACATGAAAGGTTTCCTACTTTGCTATAATCTTATTGTGCATCCAACAAGAAGTGTGCATCTAATAATGAGAGAGGTTTTAGCATAATCCTTGGCATTTTCAAGTTTTACATGCTTCCTCATCTTTTTTTTAAATATATTTTATTGATTTTTTACAGAGAGGAAGGGAGAGAGATAGAGAGTTAGAAACATCGATGAGAGAGAAACATCGATCAGCTGCCTCCGTGCACATCTCCTACTGGGGATGTGCCCGCAATCCAAGTACATGCCCTTGACCAGAATCGAACCTGGGACCCTTCAGTCCACAGGCCGATGCTCTATCCACTGAGCCAAACCGGTTTCGGCTGCTTCCTCAGCTTAATGTTTTTGAAAGAGCCTGAAAATCTCATTTCTATCAGACTTTTATCAGTCTTTCTCATCTAGGGAAATAGTACATAATCTTGCCATAGTAAATATCTGAAGGGGCTCTTTCAAGCTATAGAATTCACCTCCAACACTAACAACTAAACTTGGATTTTGATACACATCTTATAACCCACAATGGAATAAAATCCTCTAATGATCCATTTCCATCATTAATACAGGAGGTGTAACAGATAACAGTTGGGAACCAGTGCTACAAATAACTAGTATTCTCCAAGCAGTATTCCATTGTACCTGTAGTTGAAGACTCTCTCTCTCTCTCTCTCTCTCTCTCTCTTTAAATTTCTTTGTCTCCCTCTCCCTCTCCCTCTCCCTCTCTCTCTCTCCCCCACTCCTCCCCCCCCCCCCGCCACTCCCCATCTCAGCGTCCCATCTCAGCGTAGTTGGTAGAATGTGAAGAATACTGTCATTCACTTTTCTATTTATTTATTTCTATGAAAAAAAAATGCTTTCTTTTTGCTCTTCTTCGGTTTCAGGCAAACTTTTCCTGGCCACTGAGATTATATCAGTTTTTTTTAGAATAAAATTTATTTATAAAATATTTAAGAAATTTATACAGTGCTCATATAATAGTTTTTTATTTAAAATTTGTCCTTTTCTGTTGACATCTATCTTCCCCCCTAGAATGCACCATCATGAACAGCAAGAAACATAGAATTTGCTTACTACTGATTTAAATTGCAAAACCTAGTATGTCACCCAGAGAGATTGGCTGTCAGAGTCTATAGCTTCTGATACTCAGCTACAAGAAGTTGTTCATATGGATTAATTATAAGACAAGAGCGAAAGTGTTAAATTGGACTTGAGCTCCTTCTCATGGGTAATGCTGCCATTAGGGAAACAATCAAGATTTGTTTGTTACTTTAAAATTTTCTAGATCAATGCTAGAAATACTAATATTAATGATATTAATAATCATAATTACTTTGATAAACTTTACGCATGTGATTACATTTGCATCTCATAATAATCATATTGGCGGATCTATTTAGATACTAATTTTACACACCAAACAGCTGCAGATAAAACCATAGATTTTCCAACTCACACAGCCAGTAAACATTAGACCCAGGACTTGAATCCTCAAAGTCTATTTGAAACTCCTTTCATGGTGATAAGGTTGAAACATTTCAGATAATTAGAACAGAAGAAGTAAAAACGCAGAACTAATTGTTGTATTATACAAAGTGGATTTGGATTGTTATCACCTCTTGTCACCTTTTGTCTTCTGATTGGTACCTATAATTATGCAAGAGAAGGGGTCTCCCTACTATAAAAATACTAATGGACATGGGCTTGGAGTTAAACAGGTTATAACTGTCTCACTAGTGGTATTTCTGAAAAAGCAACTTAAGTCAAATTTAGTGTTCTTATTCGTTATAGCCAGTCATGATTTATTCAAAGTTGAAGCTCCTAACCATAAGAATATGTATTAAAGATCTAGTTTACTGCTACTGCTGGTAAATCTTTTCTTTCAAAATGGGATTCTTAAAATCTTTTAACTGTACATCTACTTGTAAGGACTACTGGATAACAAAAGTTGCATGTGTAGGTCACATTTAAAGCTCCAATACTAGTATTTATAAGACACATCATAGAGAACACACCACTCCAATAACCAGCTTCTAATATGAAGGCTGCACATAACACTTGTACAGAGAATGTTCATAAGTGGGTTAGTGCACACAAAATCACCCTGCAGGAACAATAGTTTCTAAATATGTACACTGATTCTTTGCTGGAGGCACAAAGTATGAGTGCACAAACATGTATCACATTGAGAGAATAAGTCATTTAAAATCCATTTGCATGAAATCTAGGAACTAGCACAAATCATAACCTCACTGAACTGCAAGTCACCTTGATTAGTCACATGACAGCAAAGCACACTTAGGGATGGTGTCACACCCAGAGTGCTCAAGCTAGTTGCCATTAGATACTTCAATATCTGTGGTAGCACCCACAAATGATCACGGTACTGTTTTATAAAAGTTGATACTGATCAATGCCGGGGCCCCGCCAGCAGGCGAGGGGATCCAAAGGCAGTTGCTGGGCATGGAGGCCAGAGGGACATAGGCTATCAAGGAGACAGAACCGAACCTCACATCACCCTACTTGGCCCAGAGATGGCTGGTAGTCAACGACGGGTAAGACCCCACAGGGTGGGGCGACCTAAGACAGGCACAGTCGGGGGCCAGTAGAATACTTGGGGTGCAACAAATGTGGGGCACAGACCCCCCCCCCCAATGGTGCAGGGGCTTGAACGCTCGCCCCTTTTGGCTAATTTGAAATAAGTAATTATTCAAAAAGGATTAACAAAAATTTTCATTTTGTGTGCAAAAAATTAATATTTAAAGTTATCTAGACTGCATTATGAAATTTCCAAAAAGCCTCCTAAAAAAATAAAACAAACAAAAAAAAAGTGGATACTGTGGGGCAATTAATTTTCAAGATTTCACTAATCATGTTTCTCAATCTTGGCAGAAGATACTCTGTAAATTTTTAGTACAATAAATAAATAAACTAAAAATAACATAGGCACTAGATTATCTGAGTCTTAACTTCAATTTGAACTCTTTCTAGCTAGGTGAC